ACGATTTAAAGAAATTTCATTAAAAAACAAATAATTTATATAATTTATTAGATTTTTAACTATTTTATATAATAAAAACACAGATCATTATTGTTATATAATAAAAATGCATATTTTGTTAGAATCTACATTTTTAATTAATAAAATAGTAAATCAATAAATTATGTATTTTATTAATTTTATTGTATGTTATATTTTATTATTTATTATTATTAAATAATAATTTTTCTTATATTTTAATACAAATCAAAAAATATAAAAAAATTAAAAATAAAAAAATTACTCAGTAACTTAATAATTTTTAATTATTATATGAAAAAATATATATTTTTTTTAATTATCTTCTTCGATATTGATTTGAGACATTTTTTTTTTTTAATTTCCTTAAAGTTGTTATAAATTTGTTTCTCTCTTTTTGCAAGATTATCAATTTATTAATGATATTATATAATTATAAAGTATCAGGTATCAAAAAATTAGCTTAATGAATTGACTTAATGATTCTTCTCAGCGATAAGCATATAAGCTACAATCTAATGATCAAAGAAAATGACTCATCTAATAAAAATCGAATCCATTTAACCGATCATTTCTCATAATAATACACTATATATAAAATTTGAAGAAAATTAAATTTACATCTTTTATCATAATTTAAAATGATAATATTGGATAAACAATTTTGTATTTTTATTTTTCATAAATATACATAATATCATTCAAAAATATAATATAAAAACATTTTTTTATTTTCAAGAATACATAATCTAATTTTATAAAATTTGAAATGTATAAAAACTTGCTATTATGTAGTATTTTATTCGTTTTTATTATTTAAAATTTAAAGAGTTCTTAATCTAATTTGATTTCTAAAATGCAATTTCGGATAAAAATTTTTTTAAGCTAATAAAAGGATTAAGTATCGATAAATTCTGAAATATTAATAATTTGTGATATATTGGAAAATATTTTTTAAAAAATAATTTAATATAATTAAAATAAATAATCCATTATCTTTTTTTTAAACATACTCTACTATTAGAAATAAATATAATAAATATATGAAAAGATATAATATAAAATTAAAAAATATATTAAAATTAAATAATATATGAAAATAATATATAAAAAGATATAAAATTTAATTAAAAAATATATATATAAATGAATTATTTTTACTATTACTGTATTATTCGTATGAAACAAACGAGAAAAAATAGAAAGATCATTTCAAAAGAGAACATCCAATTATTCAAAAACAATTTAGATTAATTGTAATATGATAAAATTTTAAAAACGGACACTTCGTTGATTTAGACTTAGTTTTTGCAAATAGATACAAAAACGAGTATGCAACAGGTGATTTCAATAGAACGATTTTTTTTTTTTTACTCTGAAATAATACTTTGAATAATTGAAAATAGAAAATTTATTTAAAGATATAAATTTTTTAAATAATTTTCAATAATTAAAAAATAAAATAATCATCATTGATGATTAAGTATTAATAAAAAAAAATTAATGAAATTAAAAATTATATATAATTATATTTTATAAATTATATATAATATCCTGCAGTATAGCATCATTATTCTCACAAAACATTTTTTTAATCATCTTGTGCAATTTAATATGAAAAGAGAAAACATTAAAACAGTACTTGTTTGCGGTAAATGTTGCCAAGTGGAAAGAAAAATACTCCATTCCGATATCTTCGCCATCTATTTTTCTGAGAGCAAATAAAGAAATTGAAGAACCGCGAAACAAGGTTACAACGACAATAAAAGAGAAATGTTTGTCAAAACAAATAAAGAAAATTATAAATTTATGTACATAAATATATTATTACTATAAATCTAATTGTTCAATACTAATATAATGTAATTCTATAAATTAAAATTGTATTTAAAATTCTTTGCTAGAAATCTATTATACCATTCACTTTTTAGAATGTTTTTAAAATTGTTAGAAGATTTTTAAAATATAAATTTTTCTATGAATGAAATATTTTTTACTTATTTTTTCGTTATTATATACAATATAAAATATTATAAACAAGAAATATATATTTATACTTATATTATTATAATAATTGAATTATCATTTAACCATTCAATAAAACGTTATACTTTGAAATAATAATAACTTGCATTCGAATGAATAGAATAAATAAAAGATAAATATGGTTTATGAGATGAATTAATAAAAAAATAGATCGATGTGTTATTTAAAATATACGTACTATATGATTCAATTGATGCACTTCCTCTTTCTCAGATAGCAAAGGTGAAATGTAACATTTCACTAGGGAAATGACCGCGTGGTGCCGCATCGCAACTTTCCGCTCAATATCACAAGTGCAAAGATTTTTTGTTCTCGCGATGCAGCCTACCGTAGAGTTGGCCTTTATCCAACCTCTTGTCGTTTGTTTTGATGGTGATTTTTTCCATTATATAAAAAGAAAAGTCGGCCATCAACTTAAACGTTTCCTATCGATTTAGTTTATCGAGTATTCGAATAATTAATCAACAAAAAATCTCATGGATTAATTTTCATTATATCATAGACATAAGAATTAATTTAGTTATTTCAATTTTCTATTATTATAAATGTTATTATTTTATTTTCTTTTATCTTTTTTGAAAAATATAATTATAAATTAATTTATAATATAATATAATATAATATAATTATAAATAAATATTCATAAGTAAATATATATTGCATAATTTCAATATTCATTTTTAAACATTACATATATGTTATATTCTGTTTATAATCTTAATTTATTTTAATTTAAATTTAATTGTAATATTTTCGAGTTTAAAATGATGTACTTGTCGCTAATACGTGCATATTAATCTCTTATATTCGATCATAATTTACATATTCTATAGATGGCATATTATCATTTACATGAATTATAATCTAACAAAAAATTTTTAACATATTCACGTCTAGTAAAACTAAAAAACCATCAAATATCGTGTTTTACATCAACAATACAAATTGATGAAAAATGTAGATAAAATAATCAAAACATTACGGCAATAACTTATCGCTGCTTCAGAGATATTTAAACAACTTTAATCTTAAGTTATTCTTCGAGATTAAAATTATAATGACTTCAATACATTGAAATTTCTCATAAAAATTTTAATATTATATAGCTGTATCATAATGAATCATCCTATAAAATATTTCCAAGTTTTAAAATAGGATAAAATTATTTGACATTATTTAATATATTTAACGTTTGCATTATATATTCAATTATTTATTTCAAACTTCGCCATATATATTTTCGATGCTATATAATTTATAGCAGACGACTTTTGAGACACGCAAATTCCTGGGTAGTCTGCTAGAATTTCAAAAACAGCGCGCGAAACGTCGCACGCACCGAGTCGTATGTTTTTCTTATGAGCGGCAAAACTAAATTAAAAAATGTTCTCACTCACCATTTGATGCCGATGATGATACAAAGTGTCCCAGCGATATTCTTGAAGTTGGAGGGTTTCGTATTGTTGCTTTTTTTTCAAGTGTGATTGAGAACGCCTTACGACCGATATCACCACAGATGGGCCCATCCGGCCATCTTGCCGTATACCAAAACGTGTACTACACTGCGCTGGCGTATTTTGCCACTTGTCTCTCCCTCTTGCCCCTCAAAAGTAATTGCGTAACTGCCCGCGATACTTTCAGTCATTCCATCTTTATCAAGTTATCGATGCGTCCTCTTCCTCTATCTTTATTTCTTCCACCGGTGGCGCTACAAACGCTCGGCAAATTTTAAACGACGCGTCGCGATCGATGATCAAATTGAAACTAAATCCACATATTGTACGAATCGGATACTTGAGTTTGTATACGATCGAAAAAATTGAAAAGTGTTTTCTTTCGTTAAAACAAATGAGTTTAATTCATTTTCATCGTACGCTATTATGAAATTGCTTTAAAATGTAGGAAACAAATTACATTCATATTTACTATTAATATTAAGTATGAACTGATATTTTATATATATTAATTACACTAATTGAAAGTTTCACTAATTGAATACTTGTTTGTTATTTTACACTGTTTTTTTTAAATGAAAATTATGAAACAATTTCGCATGCGATCGATGACATTTGAAATTTAAATATAAGAATTATCCAGTTGTGGCGCTAGCATACGGTGTAACCTATCTGTACCTGAGAAAATATTTGAAAATTAAAAATATGCAGGATTGATAAAATTATGATATATTATTTATATAATAGTAAGTAAATTATAAGTAATTATTTAATTTCTCAGTAATTTAAAAATTTTTTAAGCAAATGTTAAAAAATTAATGTTAAAAAATTTTTTTTAAATTATAAAAAAATAACGTAATTAATATTCGAAAAAAATTATAAGGATTTAAAGGCTGTATAAAATATTTTATTTAATACTGACATTGCTGTCAAAAAGGCAATTCAATATTATGATATTTACATGAATATACTTAGCGTATATATACATATAATAAATATTTACAATTTTTATATCAAGTTAAAAATTAAATAAATAAATTAACTACTACCAAACCAATCTGAACCCATTGCCCCAAAAAATGCCGCTGCTCCAGATTTGATTGTAGCTCCTGCTGAATCACTTTTTGTAGTTTCCTTGCTAGTAGTTTTTTTGCGCTAAATTAACATAAAAAATTAAATAAAAATTTTACATTACATAAAATTTAAATCTTCTTTTAAGTATTAATTTCAACAAAAAAGTATAATTTAACACGTCTGAAACATATGCTTCGTTAATTTGTTAATTTAAGCATAAGAACTTTAACAAGACGTAAAGATGTAAGATCGTTTTCTTACCACAATCAAATGCGCGAACTATCGTATGTGTATATTCTGGCAATCTAAAGATACATGAAATATCTATCATGAAAGCAATCTATATGTATTTACATGAAACAAATATTCATGTATAAATAAGCAACAAAAATAATTTCTTAAAAAAGTAATATTTAAATGAAATTTTATATAATTCAGATATATTTAAAAATTTTTGAAATTAAAAAATGTGATTTACCTGTGTTTTTTCTGGAAGAGTTGCAGTAACAAGAGGTAAATTTTTTGCTGGAGCTGTTACAGTTAAAGGTGGGAACCAAGGTGCTCCTGTGTATAAAGCTAGTACTGTTGGCAAATCTGATTTTACACCTTCAATATTATTATATTCGTTTCGTGCACCTAAAATTGAATGTAACTGTTCCAAATGAGGTATAAGATTTCCTAATATGAGCTGAAAATGAAAATTGAAATAATTAAAATGTGAATGTTGATTAACATTGATTAATTAAACAAATACATACTAAAGATCTTTGAACACTTTTCTTCACATTAGTATGAATGAAAGGATTAAAAACATCATAATCGAATGGATCGATTTTAGATAATATATTTTCACATGATTTGTTTGACAAATCAATTAAAATTTTATTTTCACGAGGTATCATAAGTAGACTAGAGTATTTTATATCAAATAATACTTGAAAGGCTTGTTTTTGAGAAAGATTTGCATCATTGAATACAATTACATGATTTAATAATTCCGTTACAATATCTTCTATAACTTCATGTAATACTTTTCTATAATAAAAAATTAAAATTTAATTTATGATATTATTATGAATTAAATAATAATTTGAAACTTACTTTGGAAGTGTGTGTGGTATTATTTTATTTAAATCTTTATTAATAGCAGTCAAAAATTTCTGCAAGTGAATGGATGGCTGATATGGTACTAAAATTTCCGATTTTATTCTCTTACCCTCTCCTGAATCTTCTTCAATAGTTACTTTTTCCCATTCTGATATAACCAAATGTATTGGATAACCATGTAATGACTCTTTCGATATGAACTTTTCTCTATGTTCACTTATTTTAACTTTATATGTTTTAGCCCAAACTGACCAAATAAAAGTACTTTCTTCTTTTAATTTATCACAAATTGTTTGCCATTTCATATTTGTTATAGTTAACCCAGACACTTTTGAAAGTGTGAAACATTTATTCAGATTTGAACTCAATGTTATCAATGCTAAAAGAAATCTTGCCATTACAATAGCATTTACATCACGTTGACCATAGTCAGGTTTATCATTTACACATGTAGTTTTTGCAAAATTGATAAAATCTTCGATCATATTGGTACTAATTGTTTGTAAATATTCTTGGATCTCCGCACGATCAAAAAACGAATCTGAAATTAACGATATATTTGTGGATAGTAGATTGTCTTTAATAGACATTACATGTTCTGTCTCGTACAAATATTGCTCAAGATCTGCGAGTAAAACGTGCAAACTTGTATCAAAATTTTCACATAATTTAAGAATATTTGGCGAATATCCTTTGGTTTTCATCAATAAAGATCTTTTACTATCTAGGCCACCATTTTTAGTAAGTTTCTGAGGAATATCATTTGGCGAATCTTTCCAGATAAACCATCGCAAATCGTGTTCTGGATATTCAAATTTATCGTAACATATTTTGCCTAAGAGTTCAATTACATCAGATTTTAACGTAGTGATAGTTTCCATCCATTTATCATTTATAATACCTGATATAATTAAAAATATTAACAATATTATTATTTTCAATTTAATAACAAAAAATATATATATCATATTTATGTACGTTTTACTCTTTGAGATATTAAAGGTTGGAAAAATTCCACCCAGAAAGTTATTCTTGGAAGAGAAAGTTCTTCCCATATTTTATTCCAATTTTCTGGCAGATTGATATTAACAGCTTCTTCGCGAACATAATATAAACCTCTTATAGATATTATTAAATCTAAAAGTTTTGTAATTTCATGATTGCAAAATTCAGCTACCCAATCAAGCCAAGATTTAATCCTCTTTTGCAGATCTAATATACAAAAATTTTCAGAATTATGTACAGTAAATGGTTTATGCTGTTTGGTCACAATAGGAAGAAATTCTTGTAATAATTCTTGATTCAAATCTAACTGAGAAAGTAAAGAATATGCTTCTTGATCTTGAATTTTTATTAAATATTGTAAAACAAGACCTTCTGATTCACCATCTGAATCTGTAATTTTTTAATCAATATTTAATTATATGTATATATATATATTTAAAATGATAATAAGAATAAAATACATTATATATGTTATAATTACTTATAAAACAAGAATAGATTAAATTGATTGTTTGAATTAATATTTTAATACATAATTTTATTTTTGTTTTAACACTATTATCATTTTCATCTGTAACAATAGATTTAATAGCCTGATTACGCATTGATATTAATTTATCCAATAAATCTGAGAATGAAGTTCCATTTAATAATACAAATGCTGCTAAACAATTTGCTATGCTCTAAAATTTAAATAGATTTTAATAACATCATTATAAAATTATAAATAATATACAAAATTTTATAATATAATATAAAATAAATACCAACCCCTGGCTGCACATCTAATGATTGTAATACATTGTTACATTTATTTAATATAATATTTTTAAATTGGCTAATAACATCCCATTGTTTAGACACAATTGGATATTTAATTGATAAATCTGTACTTCCCACTTCGAATAATAAACTATAATTTATATGTTGAGCTATTAAATATAATTGTGTAGCAAATAATAAATCCTTGTTTTCAATACTAGACCAAATATATTGAGGTACATCCATTAAGATTTTTATTTGAATAATAATTGAATCTTGACTTGCTTCTACATTTCTATAAAAAAATGTTATATAATAGTATAAAAAATAAAAAAATTATGTACTTCATTTAATGAAATTATTAAAAATACTTTTCATCTTCATTTTGAATTGAATCAATTTTAAATCCAATAAGATATTTTTTTTGTAATTCACCAAATTTGTTTTCAATATCAATGATTCTTGAAATTACATGTTCAGAAGTTATTTTCATTTTTCTAATTGTGTCTGCAGCCAATATTAGATCACGATATCTTTCCCTAAAAATATGTAAATAATTAATAAGTATATTCGAAGATTAAATTATTAACCTTTGATAGCAATCATATATATGAAACTTTATTACTTAATAACAATTTATTAATATTTAAGAGATATATAAATATTAATTTATACAGAAAATAAAAGAGAGTAACAACCAATTACTTTAAGTCATTAAAATAGAACTTTACCCAACTAAAGTTCTAAGTTCGATTTTCTTTCTATCACTTTCATGTTGGATTTTCTTTTGAATTGCCTCGATCTCCTTTATTGTATACTCTTCAAATAATTTATTAATGTCCAAATCCAAGTAATTTGTTGTTGTCATTTTTGTGACAATTTGTTTTCACGTATCTTGAACTCGGCTATTTCCACGTAGCAAGAAATAACTCGTATTTACTTCGCATTTTTATCTACAATATTCTGCAATATATTGTCAATTATCAATTAGTTGTAAGAGGGCAGTATATGTATTTTCCTTCTTTTCTCAAATGATAAATTATTTTGATATTTCTTTTTTTTTTTTAATCTTATATCGTACATTAAATTTAATTACTAAGATAAGTTCTATGTATTTCATTCCATCATATAAACATAATAAGTATATATATTAAATCATGTATGATAATGCGTCTCAAAGAAATAAATTTATTTACATCAAAATGAATATTTAAACATATAAATTAGATTATATAGATATATAAATATAGAATAATATAGATTTATTTTTGTATTTAGATTCCTTGTAATGTATTTGAAACCATTTTTTTTAAATTTCAACAAAATATTTATTTTCATTGATATTTTTAAGAAAAGATTATGGATGATAGTCAATGCACGGCAGCAAGCTTGCAAATACGCAATCGCCAAAGCACGTCACCTTACGATACAATGTTGAACCACGAGATGAGCACGCGAGACGCCATATTGAGCGAATGTTGATTGAATGCAGTTTAGGTGTTTACGCGGTTTGAAATAAAACCCGTGAAAAAACGTATCAATTGTCGTATAACTCGACTGAAATATTAATAAGCGATTAGTTCAGTGTGACAATTATATTACACGGTAATAAAATGAGCGGTAGCGACGGCGAGGATGGTCAATGCAACAGGACGAGAGAAAGCAACGTAGTAGCGATGGATGACGTTCTTGTTAAGAAACACACTGACGATATTCTTCATGATGGATGCATTAGCTCTGAGGACGATTTCACGCGACAGGAAAGTGATTGGGCTGTTAATTACATGGAAGATGCTGTCAGATCTCCTGTCGTCGCGGACTCGGTTCCTGTCGCGGTATGTTTTCCTCTAGTGAACACCGTTTCATGTTCACATCGCACCAACGATCGTCAACCACGAACACGTTCTACTTGCAGAGCGTGGCACTTGACGAAAGCGTGGTCGATGAGTTTGTCAAGGGCGCGAGAGGTCCCGACAACATGGAACTGAACACGATGCAAATGAGGCCGAAGACGGTTATTGAAAATTCGAATACTACTGTGAGCCTTGAAAACCCCTTCAGGGGTAAGGAAATGTGTTCGTGTAATGTATGCAAAGCAAAAAGGTAATTATTATAAATAAAAAGAAATAATCTAACTAGTGGATAAATTTAATCATTATTCTCAATATAGAGAATTGCTTGGAGAAGAATTGCAAAAGGCTATAAAGTTTCAAAATCTATGGACAGAATTGCGTCAACATATTCGAGGTTCCTTTAATATTGCCTTAGAAGCTTCTCGTATTCCGGGAGGTTTACAATTTCATCAAACTCCATTTTCAGCTGATGATACGCACAAGATTGTTTTGCAGTAAGTTTAAGAGAGATTTTTCTAATAATTAATTAATGGATTGACATTTATGAATCTAACTTCAATATTTATTTTCAGATTATGTAAAAGGAATCCTCATCAATTATTTATGAGATTAGTAAGCTTGGCGCAAGAATTTGTTATAGAAGTAAAAGTTCATTTATTAGCTCTTTTACATGATCTTAATGTAAATAATTTAGCAGAAGTTTTTCTTACAGGTTAATATAAATATATTATATTTTAAATTAAATAATTTATTTTTATTATTATTATTAGTTTACACATCTTCTTTCTAGGTCTTTTAGATGATTATGATGCATTGATAACAACAGCTGTAAAGATTTCTAAGTTTGTAAAACTTTTAAAAGATCATTTGGGTAAATTCTATTATAAATTTCCTTTACCATGGACTGCTTTTATTAAAAAATTATATCAAATTTATATATATGATGATCCCTTTATACAAGATAATTTACCACCTTTTATTGGTCAGGTAAATAAACTTATATTATTTTAATATTTTAATTAAATTACAATATCTAATATAGACAACAAAGTACATATCTTAGGTTTTACAGTTAAGAAAACTTTTGCCTTTAAAAGGCTCGGAATATCAACGTCTTGTTCATCGATATTTATGGTTTGACAAAGAAATGACGGTAATTAGAGATCTTTGGGCAGAAACTGAATCATGGATGGACAAGTACAAGTAAGTGACAATGTGATTATATTTTAACAATAATACAACTATATCAACTGATCACAATCCCAGGAAAGAAAATCTATGAACAAAGTTTCATAAGCGGTGCGTATTTCAGTGCAGAACAAGCATGTCGAATGACCCATCTTAGACAAGTAAGGGAAATATTCACAGCAACTAGCAAACTTCTGGAACCGCGTATGTTAAATAAAACGCCTGACATTGGAAAGTATGTCCATATAAAAATAAAATATAATTCATATATTTTCGTGAATCACTGATTTCATATTTATTCTTATTACAGTGAATTTCAAGAAACAGATGGACAACTTTTGACGCTTACATCACAAGCAAAAGTTGATGTATCAGAAATGGATAATAGGTCTTTAAGTCCTACTCCAGATTTAAGTTTGGATTCACCTGATATGCCTCCAAGTATTGAGATACTACAAATTTTATTAGATGATTGGAGTAAAGTTGTAAAATCACTACGACAAAAATTATCCGATGTAGCAGGTGCACAACCTGTTACAGATATTTACACTAATGGACAGGAAGATTTTTTTGATTATGCTTGTGCAACTTGCCATTTAGTACAGTCTGCAATGAGATCAGTCAAGTACTGTTATTATGTACATGAATTATAATCATTATAATCATTTTTTCTTTCTTTTGTATTAATATATGAATGTTTTTCAAAAAGGGCCCAAATCGAAGGAACTTGTTTGGAAAATAATGTAGAAGAAGGAAAAAGTTGCGAGTGTCATATGTGTATAGGACCTACAATATCTTCTACTGTAAGAATTTTTTTATTTCAATTAATTTTATTAATATAATACTAAGTTTATTAAAATTTATTAATATAATATTAATAATTAATTTACAGATTAATAAAAGTGATACTGAAAATATCATATTACCATTAGAAAATCCCTTTCCACAACTCACAAATGGTTTTTTAGGTAAAGATTGCTAACATACTAGTAAAATTTATATGTATTTTATTTTATTTATATTATATGTTTAATTTTTTGTTTAATTTTATTATAGAAGACACAGCTAATTTTTCGGCAACACAAGTAAAGAAAAAACTAGAAGATTTAGAAATAAAAGAAATAAAAAATGATGGAAATGAAATAAATGTAAATGAAGATATTGATTTATGGACATCTGATACACAACCTTGTTCATGTGTATATCAGCATGTAAGAGAAATAACAGAAAGAAAAATGGTGCTAGAAAATCCACCTTGTTTGTGTTTATTAAACTCCAAGCGGAAAATATGGGATACTTGTCCCTGTCTAACAAAATGTAATTATAAAAAAGAAATTTTATTTCTTATTGTCAATAATAAAATTTTTGTTTTAATACAATATGATGATATTTGAAAATATTATTAGGCGTACCTGAAACGGTTGTATCAAATGGTCATTCAAAACCAGTATCGCCGTCTACTATCAAAACTAATCAAGAGCCACCTAAACCTGCAATAAAATCTGGTACTACACAGTCTGCTCAAACGCAAACGCGACATTCGACAACTCAGACACCAAATACCACTCATAATCACACAACACATCAAGGTAAATATAAATAAACAATTATTAAATAATTTTGTAAATAATTTTTTAAAAAATACTTTTATCAAAATTCAAGAGAAAGATATAACAAAAAACATATCTTCTTTGAATTTAAATAGGTACCACTCATTCTCATACACATGGACCTCTTCCAGATTTGGTAAAAAATATGGGTCCCACTCATAGATCTCATACACATACCAATCATTCGTCGCATGTCTGTCATAAACAGGCTAATGTTGAGCATATTAAAAGAGTCTCGTGTAACGATTGTCAGTATTCATTGAACTATTTTTTTTTTTTTTCATTTCATAATTATTTTTTTCTTTTTTTTTTCTTTTTTGTTAAATAAAAAAAGTGTATATATATATATATATATATATATATATTATATACATTTTTTAGTGAGTTCCGGAGATGGAGATTGTTCGGATTCCGGAAGTAGTCAGGAGGATTCTTGTTCTACCAGTAGTTCAGCACAAAGAGATTCTAGTAGACATTGCGATTGTTGTTATTGCGAAGTATTTGGCCATGGTGTTGTAAGCAGATTTTATCATTTTTATTTCATACATGTACTAATATGTTATTTTATATAAATATATTTATTTAGCCTTCAGTAGCGCCCGTTAGTAGAAATTATAATGAAATGAGAGAACGTTTACGACAATTATTAACAAAGAAAAAGGCTAGAAAATGTAAAGTTACGTGTAGTCCTTCGAAAAGTCCCTCAGAATCAGTGGTATCTGATACAAGCACAGAAACAAAAACAGTAACAAATATCATGCCTAGATTAAATACTCCAGTTTCGACTGTTTCTGTAGTTCAAACAGATCAACGAGATCAAAGAGATCTGGAAGAACTTTTAGAATTCATTGAAGGTAATCAGAATGGAAAAAAAGATAACAATAAAAAGGCTGAGAAAAAAGCTAGGCAGAAGCAACGGAAGGTTAATATAAGTTGAAATCAATATTTCATCTTCATTAACTATACAAAAAATTAATTTAAAATTTTATTTGTTATAGCTAGAAGAAAAGCTTAAAAGAGATAGGCAAGAGGCAGAAAGACAAAAACTAATAGAATTACAGAAAAAGACACCAGAAGTAACAATCACTGTTGTAGATCCACAAAAACCTGTTCCTCAAAGATTATTACCTCAGTGTAATCTACCTGAAGTATCTATTTTACCTACGTCACCTCCAGTAGCATTGCCGATTATAAAACAATTAAGTAATAAAAAGAAAGACAAACAAGAAATCTGTAGCAATAGTAGTAATACTAGTAGCAGTAGTTGTAGCAGCAGCAGTAGTAGTATTAGTACAAGTAGTATAAATACCAAAACAAAGACTGCACCTGTGAATATCAATATAAAAAACAAAAGTATTAATAAAACTGATAAAACAATGGTCTCAGGTCAGATAAATAATAAAATAGCCATTAAAAGTGACAAAACTGAAATTAGCAATAAAAATAAAATACAGATAAACAGTATCAATAGCACAAATATGAAAAATAATACTGTGGAGAAATCATTAACTATTGATTTAAATGATAAAAAATTGACAAAGAAAGAGAGAAAAAAGTTGAAAAAAAGAATGAAGAAAATGGAAGAGGTAAAAGCAAAAGAAGAAACAAAGAAACCTGTTCAGACAGAAACTCAACCTCAGATTGTGACAATTAAAAGAGTTATGGAATCTAATAATGCAGAACCAACAGTTACGATCACATTAAAAGGTCAAACACCAGCTGAAGATAAAGTTTTGTTTACATTGGTAAATGGTCAAACAAAAGAAGTTGCCAATTTGAAATTGGAGAACGAACAAAATCAAAACATCAGCGGAAAGAAAAAGAAAACTAAAACAAATAACAATAATAACAATTATACTAATAGCAATAGTAATAATTCATTACAACAGGGCAATAAGCAAATGAATAATTCGAAACAACAAATACAGAATAAAATTTGTGACGGTAAGAATAATATAAAACAACAATCAAATAATGATAAAAGCAAAGGAAAACAATTAGATGATAAGAAGGTTCAACAGAATATCACGAAATCTAAAAAAGACAAAAGAAATACAGAAAATAAAGAAAATGTGTTACAACAAAACGTTGTAAATAAGAACAAAAATCAATCGCAAAATATATCTGGAAAAAAGCAGAATAAGATGAATACTCCACCTCAAACACCAACTTCACAAAAGTCATCGCAAAACTTGAATATCAATAATGAAAATAATAAGAAATCGAAAATTCAGTCGCAAGATAAAAATGGACAATTAAGTTCCAATAAAAATAATAAAAATACATCTAATATCACTATTAAGCAGACAAAGAATGATACTCAAAAAATTCAAACTAAAATGACAAATCAGATAAGTATCAAACAACGATCGGAAGTACAGTCAGTATCCACTGAAAGAATTAATTCACCATTGAGCAGTCAATTCAAGGATATTGGTGTAAATTCTAAAATTAATATAGAAAATTTAAAATTACCACCTGGTATTACGATAACGAAAGTAGATGCTCCTGCAAAACCTTTACCAATCAGATCTGCACCTCTGCCTAAACCAGTAAATCCACCGAAACAAACCACAATAATCGCTGCACCAATGAGCGGTGTTCAATCGAGTTATGCAAGTTCTCAGGCAGGTGGCAATGTGATTGTAGTAGATACAGGAAAATTGAAACAAGATCTTTTGCCTAAATCCATAGAAAAAGGTAAGTAAAATATTCTATATTTTAATATATATAAAATTATATAATAAAAATATATATATATTTATAACAATAACAATATATATATTTATAACAATAATATTTATAATAATAAATAATATAAACTTATTACTTCATTATTATAGACATGTCTAAAGAAACACAACAAAATCAGAGCAGTACTAATAAAAAGAAAAAAAAGAAGAATAAAAATACTGTAAATTCCAGCAATATATCAAATCAAACAATAGTACAAAATAATGATCTTTTCATGAATGATCATGCAGATGAACCTGCTAGAATACTTCATAACCCAAATACTAATATGGTGACTATAAGAAATCCTGCATTTGGCCCAATGAAAGTGCCACCAACTCAACAGGCAGCCATTATAAAAGTATCGGAAAATGGTATGGTTACTATTAGGAGCCCTGCATTACAACAAGCAATTAATGCAGGTCTTACATCACCTCCAAAACCAGATTATATTGTGAAAGGCGATCTCCCGTCCAAAATGGCGACGGAGAATTCAAATTTGAAACATACTAATGGTATTATTCCGTCAAGTTTGGCAGAATTAAGAAGCAGATTGACTCCAGATTGCACAACTTTAAGTGGTCTAGCTAACATACAAATCAGTAAAGTAACAAATGGTCAACCAATACCAGAAAATGGAATTAATTTAAAAGGAACTAGTGTAACATTAACGAAAGTGAGAACGGAACCTAGTATGGAAGACGTACAAAGTGCAAAAACAGCAGTTCGAGAGGCAATAAACGCCACGATAGCAGCATCGTCTACTGGGAAGAGTAAGAAAAAGAAAAAACGCGGAGCCGGCACAAGACAATATGGCGATGACTGGAACCTCGTTGGTGAGAAACAACAATAATCAAAGTTTAACATGTAAATTTGCTTCTTTCATTTTTTTTGTTTTCCTTAACACACCCCCGGGTTGCATTTTTTGCTCCCGGTTTGAAAAAAAACTTTCTCTTCTTTCGTTTTCTTTTTTCTTCTCTTGTTTCTTTTTTCTTTTTTTTTTTCTTCCTTTTGTTTAAAAAAAAGACAATAATTAGAGATAGTATCATGTACACAATCGATGTACAAAAAATATTTAAAAAAAACTATGGACGTGTAAACGTGTAGGTTGAGTCCATGTGAGTCACACTGACGACGGTTTTTCTTTCGTTTCGTTTTCTGTCAGGAGAGGGCAGTGTACCGCGTTAGGACCAAGTCTCAATCGCAGGCTATAGGTCGAAAGAGAGAAAATTTAATCAAATGTACCGGGGATGTGTACACTTCGGGATCTCCTCGAATTGGCCACCACGAATTTCTAGGGGGATTGACCGGAAGAGAGAACTCTGGGATAGTGAGCACTATCTTTTCTTTATTTTCCTTCCGCTTGTTCGCGCGCATCGACTTCATATTTCAATTCGACCAATCAGGTGATTGTTCCATCGAATTATTATCCATAGTATTGCATTTATCAAAAGATAAATTATTATTCGATTTTAGGATAGTTATAGTCTTTTTTCTCTCTATATTTCAGGAATATCTCGATTATATATATCTTTTACTATATTCCCCTCTCTTTTTCCGTTTCCTTTTTAGTTATTCTCGAAAATCGAGTGTGGTCGCAAGTACGCGGAATATATGAATATTTGAGCATATTATTTTAAAAAAAACTATATGATAGATTAAACATAAATTTTTGATTTATTATGTGCTTAAAAAAGAGAGAAAAATATAAAAAGAAAGATAAAGAAAAGATATGTAGATCACTTGAGAGAGTCACGCTTTGCCAAGTTCATTGACCATGACAGCGAGTTTTATCTACTATCTACCTGAAATCTCAGATTGTGATGTTTAACCGATTCTAGGTGATCGACAACAACTAGAGTATATGAATAATTTTTTAATCAAGTTTGAATCACGTGTTTCAATAAAACAAATCTATTTTTTCCAACGTTATGATCTCTTATTTCCTGTTGTGTTTTGAAAACTGCTGTGTTATTAAAAAATGAAAAAAAACCGTTGCATGCTTATAGATCACGTGAAGCGTGAATTTTCTTTTATCATCGCCAATGAAAACACTTCGTTTTTAAATATTGACTCAAAGTACCCATTCTTATTTTTTCCTTACGAATTTAATCAAAATTTGTTTCCTGATTCCTTT